TATAACACTAATAACCCTCCACACACAGATGTCTGATCAATAGGACTCTGTTCACTTTGATTAAATCATTCTTTCCTTCTGCTGATTTAAGCTTCTCTGCAGCTCTGAGTGATAAAAGTTCATCCTCACCGATCGCAGAGTTCATGTCTGTCAGGGCGGCTGTCTCGGTCCTGGTCTCCGTCCGCCGTTAAACTCGTTAACGTCTCTTTCAGCTTCCATTTGAAGCAGTTTGGACTTTTTATCTTTGGGCTCGTGCGGAGTTTCCCGTTCTTCATGACGAAGAAACCCGAAGTGACGAAGCTGCGTGTTGCGTAACAACACACCGGGTTCCGAAGAGGTCTCACCTGCAGCGGCAACCACGTGACTCACCTTTACGTCTCCATCAGATCCGGATCCGTTCATCGGTTTAGAGACTTTTAGAGGAAATAAAAGAGTCCGTTTGTCATAACTATAAAAACATTATTGTCAATATGATTATTATGAGTATTGTTAAAGTCATTCTTATTGTTCATATCATTATTAATAATAATAATTATTATTATAATTGTTATTATTATCACTATCGTAATTATTATTATAATTATTGCTATTGTAATTATTATGGTAATTATTGAGATTATTGTTATTATTAAAGTATGCAAATACTAAAGTAAAGTACATGAACCTCAAGTACTTGAGTAAAGGTACTTATACATCACTGATATCAGGTTATCACAATATTAAATATTAACGATGAGTTCCTGTTAATGTTGCCTTCATGTCACATTACAGTTATCGTAATTACCAGTTATCAACTTTCTAAACATTGTAAATAAAATCACAACAACAAAGAAACATAAATATCCGACTAACATGAACGCATCACATTCTACCCAACGTGAGTGGACGAGCACCTGAACGCACCACCAGGACACTTTGAAACAAGCACCTGAACGCACCACCAGGACACTTTGARACRAGCACCTGAACGCACCACCAGGACACTGAGACGAGCACCTGAACGCACCACCAGGACACTTTGAAACGTGTGTGTGCATGTGTGTGTCATTATGTTTCTACAATTTCAGAAATCCTGGAAAGCCGAGTCAGCAGAAAACTTCCTGTTGACACTTTTCCTTCATCATAAAAGAAAAGTACAGAAGTACATTTAGTGAAGTGTTTACTTGTACTTTAGTTTTTACTTATACTTCAGTGTGTACTTGTACAGTAAAATATGAAGCATTAATATAGATTAATGTATATTAAACATTAAAGTATCAGCAGTATATAAAGTATCCGAAGTATTACAACACAAAGTACAAAGTACTCTTATTTTACAGCAAAGAATCAGTAAAATAAATAACAAGAACAGAAAGATTTTACTTTTTATTATATTTATAATTTATTATATTTAATATGATATTTTTATGTTCACTTTAAACTCAAGGTTCACTTACTGGCTTTTTTCAGAGCTTTCAACCACATCCCACAGTCTTCTTCAGTGAAAGTTCTTCTCTTCTCATCCTGAAAACACTGGAAACAAGCGGTCACATGAAGAAGACCATGAGATTCTGTTAAAAGCTCCAGAAGAAGTTCTTCAGCTTTAGTTTAAATTCTCTAAATTATTAAAGAAGAAGAAGCAGTAAGAGGACTCTCACAGTGGTGGTCCATCAGAGCCTGCAAGGCCTTCTCTGCTGTTCTACACACAATCACAAAGTTATATCTATTTTATAATCTAATAACTTTTCTTAAATACACTACATGTATTATAATTTATAATAATATTTCCCCATTATCTTATGTTCTCATTGCACAGCTACTGTGTTCCTCAGTTGCTCTGCTTCCAGTGCAGCTTGTTTTAAGTAGAGCTTTTATCCAATCAGATCTCACCTCTGTGTCTCTAGGTAAGAACAGAGGCAGAGGCCTGCAGAGTCTCACCTGCAGCCAGTGCAGATTAAAGTAAATGGGGACGATATTGTTGTTTGTCATAGTGTTCAACCAATCAGATCTTTAGTTTGACATGTTGGGCGTATTCTTTGACGTGTCAGAGCATTCTTGGTAGTCTACAAGTACGTCAGCATTAACGTGCGCTGTGATTGGTCAGTGGGCTAGCGTCACTGTTGTGAAGCTGAAGCTAGCTAGCAGAACTTAGTAGTAAGAGTTCAATTTGAAAGATATGTAAGAAGTTATGACATTGAACTCAATGTTGAATAAGGAGGAGAAACAGATTTGGGAGTTACTGGCCACGCCTTTCTCAAGAAGGACATTTCCAGAAAAGCTGGACATCGTATCAACGAGTCGGTCAACCCCACAGCTAGCAGCCTGACCCAGCAGGAAAAGGATTTGTACGAACGGTATTCCTGGCTGACAGCATCGGAGCAGCGTTTCACATATTATGGCTAAGAATGCGTTTTATTTGCGACTGAGCGTCTTGGTGTTTGGAGCTACGCTACGCTAACCTGAGGTGGCTAACCAAGGCAGCAACACGGCACCATAGCACGCCAGGACACTTACAAGCTACGTGCTTTTGATAACTTTTGGAGAGACCCGAGTGGATCTACAACTCAACGAACACGTTCGCAGGAGGACCTCTGGCTTGAACTGACCCGCACAAAGAAAGGAGGATGGACTTTGTCTTTAAGTGAACAGCAGCTTTGGTAAGTGAAGTGCTTTTGTGTTTGTACATCTGCAGCGTTACTGCTGTGTTCATGTGTCTATGGTGTCGTTTTTATGACATGGTGAATATTGTTCCTCTGATGTGAATCATATTTGAATGATGCTCTTCAGTGTGCGGATAAATACGTGTTTTAGCGCCGCAGGTCTGCTGGATTGATTTGTTGCTTTGTTGTCATATAAATATATAAATATATATTCTTGTGAGTTTGTTCTTCATTGTGTTAATTACATTGATTTTGACGATATGCATTGTCCGTTAATGACGGTCTGGAGGAATGGGGATCATGTGGTGATTTCTTTAGCCCTGTTTGAATCAGTAGGAACAGCTGAACGCTGCAGGGAGAGTTTGTGCGTGTTGTTTTCCTGCTAAGCTAGTTTAGCATAGCCTCCCAGAACTTACGTGGCTCACCAGAGTACAATGTTTATCTTCCGTGGTGGGCGTGTCAGGCAGCACGTTGTCTGTGACGTGGGTGAGTTGCCAGGTTGGGCGCAGTGGCTCCACCGAGAGAACATTATATTTCACACAATTTAAGCTTCTGTATTTTCCAAATTCACTAGTATCATTCAAACGAATTGTTCGGTTGGTAAGCCTCGTACCGAACGGTTTAATATGAATACGTGTATTGTTAGACCCCTAGAAACCCCTAGAAGTTCAGCTGTAGTAGGACAGCACTGAGTTTAGCATCTACATTTATACACAAAGACAACTTTACTCTGAAAATCTCCATGTCGTCATTCAAACCCATTGATTCACTGACAACCGGTTCCACCTGCTCGTCACAAGCACCGACATGAACCAGCGGAGCCGGGAATCGAACCCTCGACCTTCTGACTGAAGGACGACATGAGAACCTGAATGTGCAGTTTTCTGACTCAGATGTTTCTGATGAAAGGTTTGTGACGTCATAGCTGGAGGAGGAGCTTAAACAGATGAAACAGTTTATAGTTTCCCAGCAGCCTCTTGGGTCACAAACGTTTCATCACATCAGAAAAACCTGTGAGTCAGAAAACGTCTTCACGTTCAGCTGCTCTTGAAAAACTCCTGGATTAGTGTCACAAGTGGAAAAAAACAGATTTTCAGAGTAAAGTTACTCCCACGGGAAGTTGTGTTCTTTGTGTATAAATGTTGATGCTTAATGTCCTCTTCCTGTTTCTTCTTCTTTAATAACTGAAATGTGACCCGGTGACCCACAATAAACTGAAACTAGAGACAATCGTTGGCATAAAAGACTCGTCGCCACTCAAGCGGGTTCAAAAAAGGCTTGAATGCAGATCATACTAGAGGAGGAGCTACCTGGTCCTGAGGGAATGCATGTGTAAACCATCAGTACTGTTAAGCATTAAATCTAATATTAAACTACTTCCTGTTTAGTGGTTCAGTCACAGCGATCAATAACAAAATGGCCACTTGTATAACGGTTTGATATTCGTTGTTTCTGTAAATATAAATATTAAACTCACGTTTGATTCGTTCATATTTCCTGTTGATGTTCTGTAACCATGGTAACAGAGGAGGTTGGTGACCTCGTTTATGAATCTGTTCATGTAAACATTCAGAGTCCAACATGTGACGACATCTTCCGCTCTAAAATCCTAACCTCTGCTTCCAATCCTGAACAACTTTGAAATTTTCTCTTCACTCCTCCAAACCCCCCCCCCCATCTCCTACTTCCTCCCTCCTCCTAGACAAGAAGGTAAACGATATCAGATCCTCCTTCTCTCAGCACCCCTGTCCCTGTCCACCCTCTCCCTCTCTACCCTCTCCAGCTCTTCCCCCTCAGCTCTCCCTCCCCTCTCCCCTAACGAGGTCCTCAGCCTTGTTACATCTATCCGCCCCACCACGTACTCCCTTGACCTGAACCCCTCCCCTCTTCTTCAGTCTATTGCGACTGAACTCCTTCCTTTCCTCACCCACCTCATCAACATATCTCGTCTCAGGATGCTTTCCCACAGCTTTCAAGACTGCCAGAGTCACCCCCCTTCTAAAGGAACCATCACTTGACCCCTCTGATGTCAAGAACTTCAGACCGGTTTCTCTTCTGCCCTTTCTATCCAAAACACTTGAACGTGCTGTCTTTAACCAACTGTCTTCCTATCTCCACCAGAACAGCCTCTTTGACCCCCACCAGTCCGGGTTGAAGGTGGGTCACTCGACAGACAGCCCTCCTTGCGGTGACGGAGTCTCTTTACGCCGTGAGAGCAAACCATCTCTCCTCTGTCCTGATTCTCCTGGACCTGTCTGCAGCATTTGACACTGAACCACCAGATCCTCCTCTCCACCCTCGAGGGGATGGGCGTCTCAGGCTCTGCACTCTCCCTGTTTGCATCCTACCTGACAGGTTGATCCTACCAGGTGACATGGAGGGGGGCCGTGTCAGAACCACGCATGCTGACTACGGGGGTTCCACAAGGTTCAGTCCTGGGCCCTTCTCTTCTCGCTCTACACAACATCTCTGGGTTCTGTTATTCACTCGCATGACTTCTCTTACCATTGTTATGCCGATGACACCCAGCTGGTCTTGTCATTTCCCCCCGGTGACACTCAAGTGGAGGCACGCATCGCTGCGTGCTTGGCTGACATCTCGAAGTGGATGACGACACACCACCTCAAGCTCAATCTGGACAAAACCGAGCTACTGTTCCTCCCGGGGAAGGGCTGCCCGCACCGAGACCTGTCCATCACCGTTGATG